GCTGTGGGCTTGGTGTTGGCAGCATGAAAGCAACACCCGAGGCTGGACCGTCCCGGCTCCTGTCTCTGTCCCGGGCAGCCTGGGCACGTTGCATGCGCTGAGCTGCCCTTCTCCAGTCTCCTGTGAGGATGGAGAATGATGATGTGTGGTGCCGTGCACACAGTAGGTGCTCTGTGGATGCCACTTCTGTTCTTCCAGAGCAGACAAAGTGCTGAGTGTGTGAGTGGAGGTTCAAGGTGACCTTGCTGTCTCCAGGACAGTGTGGAGCCTGGCCGTGCGAGCATCGATTCTGGAACAAGATTGTCCCGTTTCAGTTCTTGGCCTCACCGCTTGGCAGCCCAGTGGGCACAGGCAGGCCACACCGGCCCTGAGCCTCTGTTTCTTCCCTGGAGTGGAGATAACAGTAGGCCCAGCTGAAGCTGTGGATCTCGGGAGGTGCCTGGTCGCTGGGAAACATTCAGTGTAGTGAGCCGTGCTCATCGTCATCACCTTCTGGGAGGAGGAGGAATCTTGGCAGTGGTGGAGGCTGCTGAGGACTAGGGCTGGGTCAGCAGCTGTTTGCACGGGTGTCTAACCCCATTTCTGAGCTGAGGGACCTGACATCCCCCTGCAAGTCATTGGGAGGCAGACAAGGGCCAAGGTGGACGTGGCACCAGTGGAGCAGTGGTGAGGAATTTGGGGGGACAAAGAAGGAGCCCAGGCCAGAGACACAGGGAACAGCTGCTCATTTCAACCACTCTTCTCACGGAGAAACCGAAGACCAGACGGGACAAGACTAGTCCAAGGTTATGGGGAGTCCTGGGCAGGCTGGGGTTGGAATTGCAATGTCCTGACTTTCCCCATCAGCACACTTTCGTGTACCCAGTAAGAACCACTACCACCATCATCATTGCCACCATCACCACCGTCAGCACCATCATCACCACCACTATCACCCCTGCCATCACTGTCATCATTGCCAGCATCACTACCATTATCACCACCATCATCACCACCATTATCACCATCACCATCACTGTTATCACCATCCTCACCATCACCATCCTCACCACCATGAATATCATCACCACCATCACCATCCCCACCACCATCACCATCCTCACTACCATTATCATCACCATCAACATCCTCAATACCATTATCATCACCATCACCATCCTCACTACCATTATCATCACCATCAACATCCTCAATACCATTATCATCACCATCAACATCATCACTACCATTATCATCACCATCAACATCCTCAATACCATCACCATCACCGTCATCACCACCATCACTACTGTTCTCATCATCACCACCATTCTCACCACCATGGATATCACTGTCACCACCATCACCATCATTATCATCACCATCACCACCATCACCATCATCACCATCACCACCACCATCATCGTCACCACTGTGGCTATCCTCACCAACATCACCACCATCACCATTAGCAGGAACATAACATTTGTGGATTCTCAGTTCTCATCATGACCCAGCAAGGCAGGGATTTTTATGGTCTCATTTCACCAAGGTCCAGTGATGCAGGTGACACATTCAGACCTGTACTTGTCCACGTTGAGTGGACTTCCCACGGTGTCCTCCATGCTGAGGCTCTGGAAGGCAGGGGAGGGTGGGTGTCCTTAGGGTCCTCATCCCCATCATGGAAGTTGGGCTCAAGCCACACCTTTGCTGGGCTCAGTCATCTGATCTGTGAGTGGGACGCTTGGCGCAGCTCCACGAGTCTATTTCTGGACATTGATGAAGGCTTGGGAGTGAGTGGGGAGGGCCACGCTACCGGAAATGGCCTGTGCCCATGGGAAAGGTCAGCCTTGCCACCAGAGTTCAGAATAAGCAACTGGAAAAAACCTGGCCTGAGCCCCACACAAGTCACCGCTGTGCCTCGGGGACTTGTGTGCCATTCCTCCCCCATTTCACTGGAGCTTGCATTTTTGTCATAGTTTTCCAGGGACAGGCATTTAGCATCACGTGCCTTTCCTCCAGCCCTTCCCCCTTGAGCTGTTTTCCTTCCGCAGCAATCCATCTCCCTTACTTCATTCTCTGCTCCGCTCTTGCAGGGCCTCCTGCCCCAGTAGCTGGAGACCCGCTCTATCCTAGCCAGGAGGGCTGCACAGGAGGGCTGCGGGCTGCCTCCCCTATGCTCACTGTGTCCCCAGGGCTGCTCTTCCCCACCCCCAACTGTGGAAGGGGCTCTGTGGTGGCCCCTCATTTTCCCATGTGATGGGGCCACTTTCAGTGTGCCCAAGGGGTCCCTTTTTAAGGGAGACACAAGCAAGTTTGCATCTGGCTGTGGGTGGCATCAAGAGAAGGGAGAGGGGGCCGTGGGTAGGCGCAGGCCCTGGAGACGGGGCTACGGCAGACCCCCACTTCACCACGGCAGTGGGTAACTTCAGACACACTCCTCCGAAGCACTCACCTCCGCTTTCTCCTCCTCCTTGGCCCTCTGAGTTGTGACAATATGATGGGCACAGCCCTGAGCACAGCCCCCGCCCCTGTCCAGGGTGCTCGGTAAACACCAAGTGGTGTTTGATTGCAATTTCTGTTCCTCTGAGTGATTGGAGTGGATGGGAAGACGCTTTGAACAGCACCCCTCAGGAGAAGAAAGTTTGGGGAGACTGATAGGCATTTGGGGGGCTCCTCTGAGTGTCAGGGGTCTTGCTTCTCATGTCCGGCCCATCTCTCTTTCCTGACATCTCCTTCCTACGTACGTGGTTTAGAAGGTGGGATAAATGACCCTCCTTCACCATTGCCCCCAGGCATTGTGGCAGCCGGGAGGGTCCCTGGCAGCTGCCTGCAGGGCCTAGAAGAGTTTATAGTTTTCTATCCTAACCTGGGTTTCCTAGCCTATCCTAACCCTTAGGATTAAATTTTGCTGGATGTATCAGTTAGCTGTGGCTGCGTAACAAATTCCCCTCGAACTTAGTGGCCTCTGTCAACAATGTTACATTTGTTCCATTTCCCATGGGTCATGGAGGAAGCAGCTGCACGGCTCTGGCCTGGAACCCTCCTTGGGCTGTGGGGATCAGAAGGTCTTATGGGGCAGAGGAGATTTCTGTGGCGGCTTCCCCCGACAGGGCTGGAGGGTGGCAGGAAGGCGCTGCTCCTCCTCCTCTGAGCTTCTCTGCAGCCGAGCGATCCTGGAGAGAGCAGGGCAGGAGCCGCAGTATCTTTTACAACCTGGCTTTGCAAATCTCAGACTCATTTCCTTAGCATTCTCTGGTTGCATCCATCAGCCCTGTTCATCATGGTGCAGACCACACAGGGTGTGGACACCAGGAGGTGAGTGAGGATCATTGGGGGCCGGCTGCTGCCGTGCCAGGTGTAACAGAAATACTCAAAATAACAGTGTCTTAAACCACACAGCTGTTTCTCACGCTCTGGAAGGAGTCTGTCGAGGGTGGGTGCGTTGTTCTCTGGGGCCCGGGGAACCAGCTTTCTCTTACTGATGCTCCTCAGGGGCCCCGGATGGCTGCTGCAGCCCCAGCCATCATCTCCACGTGTCAGACAGCAGGAAGGAGGGGAGGGGAGGGACGTGTTCAGAAACTGCCCATGCCACTGTGTCTGTGTGCCCGTGGTCAGCACGTGGTCAGTCACACAAGTGGGAGGCACCTGGTAAACACTGCTCACTGTGGTTTTCTGTCTCAGGGTGTTATGGGAATTCGTGAAACAGCATGTCAGGAAGGAGTAAAATACGTCCCCGTTTGACAAGTGGAGAGGTGGGGGCAGCTTTGGGGCTTTTAGAGCTCACTCTAGGCTTTCCTTCTTGGTTCCGTGGTTCCTGTCTAGGGCGGTCACTCAGCCCTTTGGAGCCTCAGTTTCTGCCTCTGGAAAATAAGGATAAAAGTATGTTCTCCTCACAGGGTTATCTGCTGCGAGTTCAATGTGGGTCAGCGTGTCCAAGAGCCCCCCTCCCCAGCCTGGAGCAGGCGTTCAACACAGCAGGTTCCCTCCTGCCTCCTCTCTCCACACCCCAGGGGACTTATCTAGGGTTGTGGAAAAACCTCGTCTCCAGCATGTCGTCTCTTGGTCCAACACACATCACGGCATACACCCTACTCGAACACGTGGCCTCTGTCGATGGATGATACCATTTGAATTTCAGCAGAATCGGGCTTGCTGCTGTCCGGGCGGACTGTGTGTCTCTGTTTTCTGAATGTGTGGTGCTCAGTCGTGCCCAGCGTGCGGCTGCTCTGTACAGTTGTGGAGTTCGTGCACTGTGCAAAGGCCTAGGCAGACGGCTGAGAGGGGCTGAGACCCAGGCTGCTTTCTGCGCACCAGGCTGGAGCCGACTGCTTGGAGCAGGGGCCTCATTCCTGTCTGCACTGGGGCCCGTCAGCTTGCTGGGATGTGTGCTTGAAGAAGGGGTGTGTTTTTCTAATTCACATTTATAATCCTAGTTTCTGGAATGAATTCTAATTTCTAATTCACATAACGTGGACAGGGCCCTGTGTGTTGGTGTTGTATTATTCAACATGCTTTTCCCAGGGGTGAGAGAAGTCAAGCTTTAACGGGTAAGGATGCAGCTTCAGGCATGGCTGGATCCAGGGTCTCAGCTGATGTCAGCAGCACTCTCCCTTCTGTGTCATGTGCTTGAGTGTCTGTGTTGGCCTCAGTTTCTCCAGATGTGTTTATGAGCTCCCTCCCCTTCATGGCTGGAAACCCAGGTTCAGGCTCTGGCTGGCTGTGTGCTCACTGCGTGGATCTACCACTGGCCCCGGCTGGGTGGGGAACTCTGCTGCTGACCAGGACACTTAGCAGCCATGACGGGAGCTTTTCCAGAAGCCCCCCAGGAGGAGGGAGGCGGGGTGCACAGGACACCATGGCAGCTCACACAGCCTTCGGGCCATTGAGGACTTTCGCGACTTGGAATGCTTGGAGGGTCTCCTTAGAAGTTGAGAGTCATTTGGGGAAATCTGGAAACGTCAGGGTGATCCAGGCACGAAGATTCACGTTCTTGTCTGTCTTTCCTTTCTCCCGAACAGGGCAGCACGCTGAGGAAACGCAAGATGTACGAGGAGTTCCTCAGCAAGGTCTCCATCCTAGGTCAGTGGCTGCGCCCCTGCCCGGCTGTGTCTGTGTGTCCTGACATCCGGGCGCCTGCTGGCCACCCCGGCCTCTTCCCCATTCCCTGCGTGGCTGGCAAGTTGAGTGTTGTTGGGATTATGGAAGTTTGGTGCACAGCACACAGATGTGCCCACACACATACGTGTGCACACATGACACACACTGTCACTTGCTGGCAAACCCCAAGAGCCCGCCTCCTCTCCCGTGGGCAGGGCTGCCCTGCTTCTCAGCGTCTCTGCCATCCTGTGCATTTCCTGTCTGCTTCTCCCTTTGCTGTCAGAGCCGCGCCCCCAGCCTTCCTTCCACACTGGTCCGTGTAGAGCTGAAAGCCGGTGTTGGCTCCCGGTACACGTGCGAACTGGGTGGAGCTGCTTTCCCTGACCCTGCTGTTTCTCTGGGAGCGCGGTTTCTCTGGGAGCCGTCTCTGCCCTTTCTATGCCACCATCATCGCTCTCGGTTCCGGGAAGGATAACAGGGCAGGCTGGTGTTTCAGGTGCACCTCACCCTTTTCACCTTTGGTGAACCTGCTCAACGGCCTGGCGGGGAAGACGCTGCTGCAGCCTGAGTTACACGCAATGGCGCCGGCCAGGCCAGTGGCGGCTCCTTGGGCTAGAGCAGGCAGAACTGTGCACATGTGTGTGGGTGTGCACATGGGTGGTGTGTGTGCGTGTGTGTAGAATGTGCGTGTGTGCATGTGTGAGGGTGTGTGTGCATGTGTGTGCACATGACTGCATATGTGGCTGCATGAGTGTGTGCATGTGTGCGTGGGTGTGTGCACGGGTGTGTGTGCATGTAGGTGTGTATGTACATGTGTGCGTGGGTGTGAGTGCACAGGTGTGTGTGTGTAGAATGTGTGTGCATGTGTGTGCGTGGGTGTGAGTGCCGAGGTATGTGTAGAATGTGCATGTGTGTGCGTGGGTGTGAGTGCAGAGGTGTGTGTACGTGGGGGTGTGTGTGTGCGTGTGTAGAATGTGTGTGTGCGTGTGTGTGCATGAGTGAACATAGAATGTGCGTGTGCATGTGTGCGGGGGTGTGAGTGCATGGGTGTGTCAGTGTGTGTGCATTTAGAATGTGTGTGAGAGGGTGTGAGTGTGCACGTGTGTGGGTGTGTCTGTGTGCATATGTGTGCGCACCTGTGTGTGCGTGGGTATGAGTGTGCATGTGTGTGAGAGTGGGTGTGAGTGTGCCTGTGTGCACGTGTGTGTGCACAGTATGGCTGTGCCTGCGTTTCTTGGGGAGGACTTTGACCCCTGTTCTCTCTGAAATCCTTCTGCGGAATGTCGAGAAGGGAGCGTGAGGTTCTTTCGATTGTGGTAAAATGCAGGTCATATCAAGCCGAACATTTTGACCTTTCCCGGAAGCACGTTTCAGGGCTGTCGAGTCCACACATGACGTTGTCGGCCCCGCTCCCATCCCAGAGCCCTGTCCTCACCCGAGGCAGAGCCCCGTCCCTGTGAGCTGTCACCCCCGCCTGCCCTCCCAGCCCCAGCGGCCTCCGGACGCTCCTGGTCTCTGTGGGTTATTTGCCTGTTCGGGATGTTTTGTGGGAATGGAATCACCCATGTGGCTTCGTGTCTGGTTTTAATTCTAGTGCCTTTTTAAAAATGTCATACTTGGAAAAACAAAATGAGTTGGTCCCCCAGATTTAACAGAGGCCGAGAGGGGGACAGTTGATCCCTATGCAAAATCCCAAACGCGGGACCTCTGCCGCCCTTCTGGGTTCCTTTTGAGGTGAAGCTGGGTGGTCTGGGCCCTTGTGCCCACCAGGCAATGCCCCCACAGATTCCTTCATTCCCCAGCGCTGTCGAGGCAACGGCTGCTGCAGGCCATGAAGGACGAGACCCTCTCCCTGCTCCAGGCGAGCGCTGGTGACCTCCGGCTGGAGGTGGCTTCTTGCTTCCTGCATCCCGGGCTCTCAGGGGCGGTCAGACGCCCTTGCCGCGTGGCCTCTGTCCGCCCATTTATGTTCCTCTGATTAATGCAGCGGCCGGCAATGTGACCGGCTTCTCCGTGGCCTCCCAGAAGAGTAACAACAAGACACGATTCCCTTTTCCGGCCCAGTCACCATCAGCACAAAGTCCTCCAGAAAGGGCTGGTGGGGCGGTGCCTCCACAGGTGGCTTGGCAGGAGGGATGGCCCTGGACGAGGCTGAAGCTGTGGGCTTTGGCATTCCTGTCCCCGCACCAGAAACCTGGGAATGGCGTTTGCGCCTTGGTGCTCCTGGGACTCTGCTTTCTCCTCCTGAACGCGCAGGGCTCGGCCCCCTGGACAGGAGGCCCCGTAGAGTCAGCACGGCCTGCGTGGGAGCTGCGAGTCTGCAGAATTCCAGCTCAGAGCTTGGAGATGGCTTTCCCACCAGGGCAGGTGCACGCAGCCTTGTCCTGTGGCCGCAGGCTGACCTTGTGGGGTACTTTTTGGGGCACTTGGCTGCGTTTATTCTGTATAGTTTGCACAGTGAATGGAGATGGATCCCATCTCTACAAAATAAAAAATTAGCTGGGCGTGATGGTGCATGCCTGCAGTCCCAGCTATTTGGGAGGCTGAGGTGGGAGGGTCACTTGAGGCCATGAGCTCGAGACCAGCCTGGGTAACATAGCGAGTTCCTGTCTCTCAAAAAAAAAAAAAAAAAAAAAAAATTATACAGGTGTGGTGGCTCATGTCTGTAATCCAAGCACTTGGAGAGGCTGAGGTGGGAGGATCTCTTGAGCCCAGGAGTTCAAGGCTGCAGTGAGCCGTGATCACGCCACTGCACTCCAGCCTGGTTGACAGAGCAAGATGTTGTCTCTTGAAAAAAAAAAAAACTGGGGCCAAAAGTGCCATCTCCCTGTGATTTCTTCTGTCAGTTTCCATCCAAGATTAATGTAGCCAGGAGATAATTTTTGTTTTCAGAACTCAGAATACTACAGGTTTCAAATGTAATAGAGGAAGCATTTGCTGATCAAATATGTGGAAATAAACTTCCTAACTGCAACTGACTTCTGAAATGAAATGCCTCATGTGACTGTCCTTGTAAGGAAACCAGTGAACAAAACACTCCAAATTCATATGCTGGTCTCCTTCTGCACCCTGGACACAAACCATAATTGCACTAAAAAATCACCTGCATCATTTAGTTGCCAGGTGTGCACTGATGTGTTGACCTGCTTGGGAGCACGCCTGGGTTCTGAATTATTCAGCAGCTTCTGTCTGGTACAGACCCTTTTTTTTTTTTTTTGAGACAGAGTCTCACTCTGTCGCCCAAGCTGGAGTGCAGTGGTGCGATCTCGGCTCACTGCAACCTCCGCCTCCCGGGTTCACGCCATTCTCCTGCCTCAGCTTCCCGAGTAGCTGGGACCACAGGCACCCGCCACCTCGCCCGGCTAATTTTTGTATTTTTAGTAGAGACGGGGTTTCACCGTGTTAGCCAGGATGGTCTCGATCTCCTGACCTCGTGATCCGCCCGCCTCGGCCTCCCAAAGTGCCGGGATTACAGGCGTGAGTCACCGTGCCCGGCCAATACAGACCCTGTTTTTAGGAAGCTGGTCAAGCAGCTCTGGTAGCGGGGGCCTCACCCCACTTCCCTATGCTGCAGAATCTGCCCCGGCCCTGGGGTTTGCGGGAAGCATTTTCCACTGCAACGTACAGCATCAACAGGGATTTTTAAGGAGAGAAATCTCCCTCCTAACCTAGATCTAAAATAAATGCTTTGCTTTTTATTTTTAGCTTCTGACCTACATAGGTAGCATCTGATTTGTATAGGACAGGAAAGATTTTTTGTGTGTGTGAAAAAACAAACAGTTAATCAGGTGATCATTATTTTCTTATAAAATCTGACGTTAGTAATTTTTTTTTTCCTTCCAAGGGTTAGGGATGAATAAAGACAGGGAAGGGAAGACCTTGTGAGAAGGGCGGAAACATACATTGAATTCGCAAGCATTTAAAGATAAACTTGGCATGGGAATTAAACATTTTGACCTAAAAGAGTAGAAAGTATACTATGCCTTAATCTTGAAACATAAATGCAGTTCCACGTTCTTTGATCAGTCCCCGATGAACAGTGTTTCTTTTGGATGGGCAGTTACCATTCTGAATTATTTTGTTATTCACTTTTTTTTTTTTTGGAGACAGGGTGTTGCTCCATCTCCCAAGCTGGAGTGCAGTGACGTGATCATAGCTCACTGCAGCTTCAACCTCCTGCGCTCAAGTGATCCTTTTGCCTCAGCCTCCTGAGAAGCTGGGACCACAGGTGTGCGCCACCATGCCTGGCTAATTTTTTAATTTTTGTGGAGACGAGATCTCACTATGTTGCCCAGGCTGGTCTTGAACTCCTGGCCTTAAGTGTTCCTCCCACCTCAGCATCCTGAGTAGCTGAAACTACACACCACCATGCCTGGCTAATTTAAAACATTTTTTTTTTTTTTGGTAGAGATGGGGGGGGTCTCATTATGTTGGCCAGGCTGGTTTTGAACTTCTGGCCTCAAGTGATCCTCCTGCCTCAGCCCAAAGCCCACTGTGCCTGGCTTCTGAATTATTTTAAACCACTTAGTAAGTAGCCTTTGTGCTTAGCTGGGACTCCATTGTTTGCAAAAATGTAAGCAGCTCTATTCTTTCGAAGATAACAAAAGTATTTTCATACTGAGTTAACCTGGAGTCAGTTTTCACTGCTGGGTATTTACGTTAAGCCAGGGATAAGTGTCAGAATAGCTCCCTCCGCACCTGGCGAAGAGGGCACACGAGCTGCATGTGTCCGGGACCTGCTGATTGCAAGAAAACCCAGGCCTCCTGGCACAGAGGTGCTGGGGGACGGTGTCACGGCCTCATCTTACACAGCTTACTGGTCACGGAGCTGGTGCTTCTGAGGACACCTTTCGGGAAGAGTGGTGGCCCTTGTCTTGGACTGACCGGGGAGGTGTGAGCCCGAGGATGACCTGTCCTCCTCCTCTCCTGACAGAGTCCCTGGAGAAGTGGGAGCGTCTGACCGTGGCGGACGCGCTGGAGCCCGTCCAGTTTGAAGATGGAGAGAAAATCGTGGTCCAGGGAGAGCCTGGGGATGACTTTTACATCATCACGGAGGTGAGATGTGCTTCCCACGTGGACGCTCTGGGTGTGTGCTTGGGTGGGGGCACTTCCTACCTTCTCTTCTTCCACTCCCCGCCTCATCCTCCCTCTGGAGTGAGTGCTGCTCTGTGACCGCACGCCCATCTGGGGCCTCCACGGGGTGGGTGGCCATGGCCTCACACTCCTGCCACCGAGGCTCCTCCGGTCCTCTAGCATCGAAAGGCTCCCTTCTTAGAAAGGTGGCTGGTGCCTGATCTGCATGTGTGATGAAACTGCATGAAACTGGCCGGGTGCCGTGGCTCACGCCTGTAATCCCAGCACTTTGGGAGGCTGAGGCGGGTGGATCACCTGAGGTCAGGAGTTCGAGACCATCCTGGCCAACATGGCGAAACCCTGTCTCTACTAAAAATACAAAAATTAGCCGGGTGTGGTGGCGCATGCCTGTAATGCCAGCTACTTGGGAGGCTGAAGTAGGAGAATTGCTTGAACCTGGGAGGTGGAGGTTGCAGTGAGCCGAGATTGCACCATTGCAGTCCAGCCTGGGCAACAGAGTGAGATTCCATCTAAAAAAAAAAAAAGTAAAATAAAAAACCTGCACGAAACCTTCACACAGGGAGTGCAAGGGCAGGAACCTTCACACAGGGCGTGCAAGGGCAGGAACCTTCACACAGGGCGTGCAAGGGCAGGAACCTGCACACAGGGCGTACAAGGGCGGGAACCTGCACACAGGGCGTACAAGGGCGGGAACCTGCACACAGGGCGTGCAAGGGTGGGCAGAGCTGAGGAAGGGAGTGGGGTTGGGAATGGCACCACATCTGCATCCCAGCCGTGGCGTGGCGCCGTGTGTACACAGCAGGTCACTGTCGGGGGCATCGCATACATTTAGGGTACACAGGATCTCTCTCTATTATTTCTCACAGCCGCACTCAAATCTACGATGATGGCAAAATTAAAAGTTTAAAAAGACGGTGGCAGCTTCTCTCTCTGGACGTAGAGTCATTTTTGTGAGTCGTTTTTGCCGTCTCACACCACGGCGCCACCACGGGCAGGCGACAGGTGGCTCCGTGGAGCCCCTGGGACACACTGGGGCCGCAGGCCACGGGGGCCGCACCCAGACTGCTGGGTGAGCTGAGCAGCTGTCCCCAGGACAGGGCAGGAATTCGCGTGTGAACCCCCATTCCGGGCGCTGGCGAGGGACCCCGTGCCTGTGAACTAGCAGGTGGGACTGGTCTCCAGAGGTGGGGCTCGGACACTGGACCTAATTGAGGACTGGCTAAAACAGGGCCAGGGTGCAAGCCGCTCTCCATAGCCACGCCCACCAGCGCACCACGTCAGTTTACCGTTGCCATGGCAATGCCTGGGAGTGCCCGCCCCTTTCCATGGCAATGGCCTGAGGTCCTGGAAAATTACCACCCTTAACCAGAGATCTCTGTATCATCCACCCCTTAATGTGCATCTAATTATAAGTGGGTGTAAATGGGACTGCACAGGTGCCCTGAGCCGCTCCCCTCAGTGCTCTGCCTGGTGGGAGCAGCGAGGAGCTGTAACCCCAAACACTGCCGCCTCAGTAAAGCTGTTTATTCCACCTCCTGCTGGGCCTCGAATCCTTTCCTGGGCAAAGCCAAGAACCCTGGCAGCCTAAGCCCCACTTTGGGGCCCACCTGCCCTACATCACCTGTGCCCCATGGTTATTTGAACTGTGGCCTGCCCGGTTATCTGGAACCCTCTCCCTTCGGATTAATGCTGGAGGAACCGGGCTGGAGCCCCAGCGCCCGCAGTGTGTCCGTCGGCCGGAGGCTGTGCCTGGGTTGTGGCCTCCCTGAGAGGAATCCCCTCCCCAGGTGGCCCCGGGCAGGAATGAGTGACCTGTCCAGGCTGTGTGCTGACCTGCCTGGCTCTGCAGAACCACACATATGCTCCTGTGTGTCTGACATGTTCCCCACGTCTCCGGCCCTCAAGGGTGAGCAGGATCTCATGCTTGCATGCGCCCTAAGCACACGCCCTAAGCACACGCCCCAAGCACACGCCCCAACTCTGCACCTGCCATCGGGAAATGCGTGCCTCAGGGTGGCGGAGTTTAAGGTCCCGCCCTCGCCAAAACACCCACAGCTGTGGGCAGTGACACGATCATTCTGGGTCCAGAAGGAGCGCACCTCCCTGCCCCTGCGGGCTGCTGGGAAGAAACAGAGGTCAGCAAAGAGCTCAAGTCCTGGTGGATATTTGGCGACTTCAGCGAATTCAGGAGCCAGAGTCTTGGTTCAAAACAACAGAAGCCCAGCAACGTGGCCGGGGCCGCCGATGGTGTTGGAAGATGCTCTCACCGCCACCGGAACACAGGCGGAAAAGCAAGAGGCTGGAGTAAGATCCTGCGGCAAGGAAGTGTGTGTTTCTCGGGCCCCCGCACCTGCTAAATCCTCATTACCCTTCCCTGAGGGGCACGTTCAGGGCCTCTCCCGCCCTCATCCCCGGTGCTTCCCACTGCGGCTCTACCATAAGGAAAGACCTGGAAGGCTGGGATAGAGCAGGAGAAGCAGCAGAGGCCGGAGGGAGCCCGGCCGGCTGGGGTGTTAGAGGTGCTGGGAGATTTCTGCTGACCTGGAAGAAGCACCAAGGCAGGTCTTGACGGGGCAGCCACCTTCACGGAGCTCCACAGGGTGGATGTGGGATTCCGGGACCTGAGTCACTTCCCTCTCCACGTCCCAGAATGCTCATTATGTGAATGAATTAGTGAATGCATGAATGAATGATGCTTGTTTCCAACCTAAAGGTACCACAGGCTGCACGGACATTCATGAAGGGGGGTCCCTGCTGGGGGGCCGTTCTCAGGCAGTATGTCCGGTCAGTAGAGTAGGGGACTCATTCAACAGTAACGCTTCTTTAAAAGGAGAAGAGGAGGGAAAGGATGAAACCACCGGCAGCCCAAGTGATGATTCTGGCCAGCGTTGGAAGGAGACTCTGGCAGGCCCCGAGAGGGGAGTGACCCCAGCCATGATTCCAGTGTGCACGCCCACCTGTGTGCAGAGGAGGGGCTGCCAGTGTGGCAATATGTCTTTCCGCATGTGCAGAGGATGTAGTGTGCACGCCTGCCTGTGGCGTGCAGAGGAGGGGCTGCCAGTGTGTATGCTTGCCGTGTGCAGAAGGATGCCAGTGTCATACCCACCTGTGTGTGCAGAGGAGGGCTGCCAGTGTGCACGCTGCCGTGTGCAAGAGAGGATGCCAGTGTGCCCAGCTTGCCCATGAGCAGAGGAGGGGCTGCCAGTGTGCCACGCCTGCCCGTGTGCAAGAGGAAGGGGATGCCAGTGTGCACGCTTGCCATGAGCAGAGGAGGGGATGTGATGTGCACGCCCACCTGTGTGAGTGTGCACGCCCACCTGTGTGCAGAGGAGGGGCTGCCAGTGTGCACACCTGCCCATGTGCAGAGGAGAGGATGCCAGTGTGCACGCTTGTCCGTGTGCAGAGGAGGGGATGCCAGTGTGCACGCCTGCCCGTGTGCAGAGGAGAGGATGCCAGTGTGCACACCTGCCCGTGTGCAGAGGAGGGGCTGCCAGCGTGCACGCTTGTCCGTGTGCAGAGGAGGGGATCACAAACCCACTGCTGAAATCTGCTGTATTAAAGGCTGCTGTTGGGTGGTTTTTGGGCACGGTGGCTCATGCTGTAATCCCAGCACTTTGGGAGGCCAAGGTAGGAGGATCACTCGAGCCCAGGAGTTCACGACCAGCCTGGGCAACATAGTGAGACTCCATCTCTACTAAAAGTTTAAAAATTATCAGCACCATAAGACGGGGGGGGGAAAAATTAGCTGGGCGTGGTGGCACCCACCTGTAGTCCCAGCTACTTGAGAGGCTGAGGTGGGAGGATTGCTCGAGCTCAGGAGTTCAAGGCTACAGTGAGCTATGATTGCACCACTGCACTCCAGCCTGGGCAATAGAGAGAGACCCTGTCTCAAAACCAAAACCAAAACCCACACCAAAAAAACATGGCTTCAAATTCTTGGTTGTCTTTCCCATGGAAAAGGGGAGTCTGACCCCCTCCCGTTGATGCTGGGCTGGCTTAGGTACACACTCGATGGATAGAATACAGTGGAGTGGCGTTGCAGGGTACCCAAGACTGAGTCCTCCAAAGCCTTACAGCTTCCACCACAGCCTATGGGAACCTTGTTCCCGGGATGCTCTTCTTAAAGCCCAGCAGCTGTGCTCTGAGACGCCCACCCAGCCAGTGCAACCCCAGCCCCAGCCCCAGCCAGCGCAGCCGTGAACGCCCAGTGTCAACAGCTGCCACATGACTGTGCCGTCTTGGACGTCCCACCAGCTGAGTCGTCCGATGAGGTCATCCCTGCCTCCATCTGGATGCAACCCCGGAGGAGACCCCGAGTGAAAACCGCCCGGCTGAGCCCCTCCAACCCCGAACTGTGAAGGATAACAACAAACTGTGGTTTAAGTCGCTGACTTCAGGAATGGCTTCTCAGTTCTCACCGGTTATTGCTACTGAAATAAGTACATAAGTAGAGCCCTTCCTTGCCTAGACAACAGAGCTGTGGCGGTGGCACTCCCGGCCGCTCCACCTCCAGCAGGATGACCGCGGTGATAGGTGGAAAGGCAGATCTCTTTAGTTGCTCTAGGTTTTACATCCATTGACAAGAAACTGGTGCTTACAGGCTGAATCTGGCCCAGAGACAAATTTGTGTTGGCCTGTGCAGTGTTTTTTTTTAAAATATTTGGATTACTTGTCGTTATTTTACAGTCAGGAGATTTCACATAAAAATCTAGGTCGCTGGCCGGGCACGGTGGCTCACGCCTGTAATCCCAGCACTTTGGGAGGCCAAGGCGGGTGGATCACTTGAGGTCAGGAGTTCGAGACCAGCCTGGCCAACATGGTGAAACCCTGTCTCTCATAAAAATACGAAAATTAGCCGGTCGTGGTGCAGCTACTAGGAGGCTGAGGCTCAAGAATCACTTGAACCCAGGAGGCAGAGGTTGCAGTGACCTGAGATCATGTCGTTGTACTCCAGCCTGGGC